ACGTACTCCTGCTGATGACCCGGCGACTGAGTTGTAGCCTCCATACTCTCTCTCTCTCTCTCTCTCTCTCTCTCTCTCTCTCTCTCTCTCTCTCTCTCTGTATTGTCTGTTTGTCTGTCTGTTGTCTGTCTGTGTGCTGTCTATGTCTGACTGTGTTCCTGTCTCTGTGTGTGTTGTCTGTTTGTCTGTCTGCTCTCTTTATTCCTGTCAGTCTGCCGTCTATCTATGTCTTGTCTGTCTGTTGTTTATGTGTTGTCTGTCTACGTTTTCTCTCCGTCATGTCTGTCTGAGTCTGTCTGTCTGAGTCTGGCCGAGTCTGAGTCTGTCAGTGTGTCTAACCTCCTGGACCAAACACCCAAGATTCAGGGCCAGACTGGATCAACGTTTGGGAAAAAAAAAAAAAAAAAAAGAAGACTGGGTCAACGTCTGAGTCAACTGCTCCCAGGTGCAGATGGAAGTCAACCCAAGGAAACACTATATAAAGGTTGGCTTCCCCTCTCTCTCTCTATCTCTCTCTCTCTCAACCTGCTTGCATACAGGCGCAGACATGCCTGCCTGCCTGCATATAGTCCCAGACCCAATCAACAACCGAGGACCAGACCGATGTCAACGGGTACAGACCCGCAGACCAGCGGCAGGTCAACCCCTGGAACTGGACACCGGGCAGGAGTTGCACCTGGGCGTGGACCAACCCGGTCAGCTGGTCAACCTGTGTGCCCTCACCACACGTGGGCCCAGACCCAGGTGAACGGAGGTACAGGGCGAGACCAGGTCCTGCCTCCACACGTCCAGAGGTCCAACCACAGGTCCAAGCCCAAGTCCGACCCTACGTAGACCTGAAAACAGCGTTGGGCACAGACCCAGGTCAACGGGGTTGCACGGGCAGACCAGCGCCAGCGCCGCCAGGGCATGTGTGAGACTGGACACGGGTTACAACTTGGACCTCTGCTTTGGAAAGGGCGGGTCAAAATAACAACAACAACAACAACAACAAAAAGTCAACTTCTGCCTGTCTTTGCATGCTTGCCTGCCTGTCTGCTGCATGCTTGCCTGCCTGTCTGCTGCATGTCTGCCTGCCTGTCTGCTGCATGCCTGCCTGCCTGTCTTTTATTTTTTTTATTTTTATTTTTTTTTCTTACCCCTTGGCTGAGGTCCTGGCACAGGCCCATGTAAACCTGAGAACACCCCCAGGTCCACACTCACGTCAACATGGGTACCTACCTGGGCCCAAGCTCAGGTCAACGCACAGCCCGGGGAAAGAGTCAGGTCAACGTTTACTGTATAAAACGTTGACCAAGCCGAGTATGGAGCATGTCAAACTCCAACTCCTTTACGCTGCTGCTCAGTGGAACTCCTTTACGCTGCTACTCCACAACCTACCTTTCTCTCTCCATCGCTCTATCCATCTCTGTCTCCATCCTACACTCTCT